CTGATGTGATTTCCGAATAATCAACGAATAATGATAATGGAAACTCAGGTTACTGGAGAAGTAGATCCCAAGATCACGGACATTTTCCTCAGGGGGAATCAAAGCTTGATTTAATTTGGGATTCATAACATTGGAGTTGGCATATTTTCTTGTTGCATTGAATTTGATGTATTCGCACTTTTTAGTAGCCGTTTTCATTTTCCGTGTTCAGCATCGTTTTGAAATTGTTAATGAGATCGAAAAAGCATACCAAAAGAACCAAACATCATGAATTCTTCACTGGCACAAGCATCCAGTGCAGGTCGTGATTTTTGCAGTATGATAAAATAGAGTCATTATCTTGAAACATTTTCACCTCCACCACCTCCATCCTGCGGATGTGGAGGAAGAAAGAAAAGATCCCTTCCGGAAAAACCAACATTCTTTGGAATCGCTGCTGGAGATGACGATATGATGTGCAACAATACAGAGTTGAAGAAGATCATTTTGGAGGTACAGTAACCCGAAAATTCTTTCGATATATAGAGCTTCAGAACATGCAATCAACATCTGTGGACTCTTCAAAAGCAGTCAACGGAGCATTGGAGGCCAAGCAGCTCAATAGATTTGTCGTTGTGTGCTCTGAGGTAATTCCCTAGGACCCAGTTTGAGAAAAAAAATCCTTTTCAGACCCCATTTGTGTTCACCGTACGTGCCGACACCGCCTACTGTGGTGCCACCAAAAATGGCCACAACTGTCATGCGTTTGCCATGTAAATTGGAAACAACTTTTTCAACGATTCTTGTTTGTATATTTTGTGATAGGACATATCATTTTTTTCAAATAAACTTTTTCATTTTTTAAAATTTCGAATTTTATAACGACCTAGTAGAGACCGGTTTTACAGAGATTGTAAAAAAATCGGCATCGGCTGCGTAGAAAACATATCGGGTGAACCCAGAAAATCCAAAAAAAACTTTTTTTCAAAAAATAATACGACACTCCGAAATAACGTACTGCTTCCCAGTTTTATGGTTTTCGAACGAATCTTCGATTTTTCTTTGAAATTTAGTTCGGAAGCTGTCTCTTATGTTTTTATTACCCCTTTCAGAAGTTCGAAGCCTGATGACTTACATTTCGATTTCGGAATCATTTAGTTTCTTGGGGCCACCTTTCAAACTTTAGGGACCATTTAATAAAGTCAATCATACAGTCACAGGCTAGGTTCTCTATATGTAAGTTCCAAATATTCCCTAGAAAAAATACAGTGGCGAACATTAGTGAGTGTCCCTCTATACTTTTGTTCACAACTTCGCTCAAACTTTTCCAATAATTAAAAACTTTTTTGTTAAATGTAGCCGAATTTTCGGCAAAACGTTATATAAGTTTTTTGAAAGTCAATCAATCTTTGTGTCTTCTGAATCTTCACAGACGTGACGGTGACTCCTCTCTTCACAGACGTGACGATGACTGCTCTTGAGATGTGCTCACTGAAGCATAAAAGGTATGGTTCAGGAGTTTGGCTATAACTCGGCTCAAAATGATCCAAATTTTCTCAAATTTTGACAGAATGTGTGCCTTTAATTGCTTCACATTAGACATACAAAGTATTGGGAACAAAAATTTCACTTGCTTGTTTTACCCTCTTTTGGTACATAAAAATGAAAAATTTATAAAAATTTATTCTTCCCAAAATACTAAGTTTTGTATATATATATATATATATATATATATATTTTAGAGACACACGTTCTCTCAAAATTTGAGCGAATTTGAACAATTTTGAGCCGAGTTATAGCCAAGCTCATGAACCATACCTTTTATGATCCAGTGAGCATATCTCAAGAGCAAGTGTTCCAAACCGCCTTAAATTTTTTTTTGCTATATATATGATCTATACCAAACATTTTTCATTACAAAGTCAATCTTTTAAAAAATCCTGTCGGAATTTTTTTTTACTTCTGGAGTCATCGTCACGTCTGTGAAGATTCAGAAGACACAAAGATTGATTGAGTTTCAAAAAACTTATATAACGTTTTGCCGGAAATCCAGCTACATCTAACAGAAAAGTTTTTAATTATTGGACAAGTTATGAACAAAAGTATAGAGACAATCACTATTGTTCGCCACTGTATGTCAAATCGTTTCATTCCATCTCCGACACAGTCTCCAGTCAGGTGCTCTTTGAACAAGGCTTAAGATACGCTTTGGAAAATACAGGAATCCATTTGTTTCATTCTGCAGCATTGATTTTTGATATAAAGGGGGTTTTCGGAATAAATCTAAATTATATATTGAGAAGTTCATCTGATCAAATATACAAATATAAAAAAAAATAAATTTTCATCAGATTACATTGAAAACACATTACAGGTATGGCCATTCTTCTTGGCTCCACAGTAGACGGTATCGGCACGGATCGTGAAAACGAATGGGTTCTGAAAAAAACTGTAATTAGTTTTCAGGAACTCTGAATTCAATTCACCTCTGAGCATACAACAGTAAATCGATTCAGCTCCTTAGCCTCTAATGCTCCGTTGATTGCTTTTGATGAGTCAGTGGCAGAAGTTTGGATGTTCTGAAAATTTTGATTTTCTAAAGATTTAAAATGATACCGCACCTCCAAAATAATATTTTTCAATTCTGGAGTGTTACACACCACATAGTCTTCAGAAGTGGCGATTCCGAAGAATTCCATGGTAGCTTCTGGAAGGGATCTCTTCTTTCGTCCTCCACATCCACAGGAGGATGGTGGTGGTGGACCAGAACATCCAAATCCACCACCTTCTCCTCCCATCATTCCGAATAGTCCTGGACAGGCGGCAGCGATGGAGACAAGGCAGAGAAGGATGAGAATGGTGGATTGCATAGTTGAATCGAACTGTGCCGACGGTACCGATGGTCTTTCTTTATTCTTTAGATGCGTGACGTCAATGAAATACACTTGGAACTTTTTGTACGCTTTTTGCTGCTTTGCACTTTTTTGATCTATAATAATCGAAATTCACACTTTCCAGATAAGGATCATTCTTTCCTAAACCTGTGGAACCTTGAAAGATGAAAATCACACTGTGTAGCTTTCAAAGAATGTAACAGAGAAATCAGTAAAATCGTTTTATGTAATAAAAATTGTACACAAAAAAATCTATTTACTTCTGAAGAGATGGAGCGAATCCCATTCTCTTTCCTCCGATATCATAGATATTACAGTATTGTCTGATGAATGGATCACCAAGAATCCAAGCTGGTCCGAAACCTCCGGAGGCGAAGTGGAAAGCGGCGAACAAGCATTGTCCATTTCCAGCGTTCACGATGTAGTTGATTGGTTGGATCGAGTAGACATGGGATCCAATGGTGATATCCAATGGTCCTGGTTGAGCGTTGCAGGCGATAGTGTAGGCTCCCTCCAAAGCGTTGTACTTGGCTCCAGCGGCCTTGGCGAGTCCACTGATCACACTGGATGGTCCTCCGATGAAGGAGGTTCCGGTGTCGGAGATAACTTCAGCGGCCTTGGTACTCGAGTAAGATCCAAGCTTGAATCCAGCAACCTTGAATTGGTAGTAAGTAGCAGAGGAAAGTGGCTGGTATCCGACGACTGGTCCGCAGTTCTTAGTGTCAATGGCTCCGTAGGTGAAGACTCCTCCTCCGACGTTGTTGAGGGCTCCTCTGTGCTCAAGCCAGACAGTGAAGAGTGGTTGGTCAAGAAGTTTTTGGTTGATAGCGTTGATAAGTGGTGGGACGACTCCGTCGACGGCGAGGGAGGTGAAGGCGAGTCCGAGGATTCCATCGGTGGCGTCACGCTTGAAGTCAGCAGAGATCTTGCTCGCAATTCCGAAGGTGGTCTTTGGAACTGGGAGTTGGGGTTGTCCAGCGGCTCCGAACTGCAAATTTGTCAAAAGGTTAGAGTTTTGGTAGTGACATTAGAAACTGAAGTCTAGCGGTTGATAATGCTATTAATTTTTTGCCTTTGCAAAATTTTTCGTAAGGTAATACTAATGGAAATTGATAAGAGAATTAACAAAATGATGACTTTGAATTCGTATGCTGCTACAAAAACGTACTCTAACAGTGTCCTCTCCAAGGATTCCAGCAGCATCTCCAGATCCGTACTGAATGGTCCATGACTTTCCGTTCTTCACGAAAGTGCTGGATTTGGTCGAATCGAACTTGTGCTTCTTTTGGCAGTTGGTTCTAGAAACTTACTATTGATAAAAAATTTCCGTAAAACCTGTGTTAAAATGACCTTCTATTATCTGTGAGCTCTATAGGGAGGGGTTTCTATTTTCCATGAGGTCTATAAGGATGCTCTTCAATTTTAGCGTCCCTTCCTTCTACTACAATTTTCATGGTAGTTCCACAACTCACGAGCAAGTTGGTCCTGGAATCCAAAGATTGGATGATCCGGTGTCCAAAACAACGATGAAGCTCTGCTCTGGGGTTCCAATGGTGATGTTTCCGAGGTATTCGTAGTCTCCAAAGTCGTTGACATTCTCTTGAAGACTGGCAAGAACGTCTGGGGAGGCTCTGCGGAGGGTGTCTTGATACTCGAGGTATGCGGCATACTCTCCGTTACGGATCATCTCCATTCTGAGGGACTCTCTCCATTGGATGTTGTGTTGGTGGACTGCAGCGGAGGCCAAGCCAAGAATGGCTAACAAGATGAGACCTTTCATTGTCTGAATGACTTAAAAGTTAAGAAAAAAATGAGGAGAGGAAAATTGAAATGCAATGCAATGAAATGAAATTGAAATCAAATGATGAGAAAAAACTGTGCGACTACCCCTTCTTTTATACATTTCTTTCATACTACACTGTGCGCATGATTGACGAAATTTGTGATAAGCGTCGTTGTGTCGTCCTCGTCACATCCGTTATCAGCTTTTACTGTCTCCGGCTCCCGGGTGCTAAAACTCTGGGAACTATAGGTTTTTATGAGCTAATAAAGAGAGTAGGAAAACATTGGTATGCCATTTCGTACCCGGAGGTGGTAATTAAGAAAACTGGGACAGACATGGATGATACGTCACAATAGAAACGAATTTGAAGGTTAAGAGCCTTTCAGAGTTGATACACAAAAATCTAGAAGACTTGGAAGATCTGGGAGACAGCTATGTGGATGTGGAAGTCATGCATGGGGCTCTGAAAGACCTGGAGCACGTCTATCTGAATCTGGATTATCTGGAAGGCATAAATCTGGATCTGAAAGATCTGGAAGACACATGTCTGACTCTGTAAGACCTGGAAGATATCTATCTGGAACTTTGAAGACCTGGAACACATCAATCTGAATCTGCAAGACTAGGAAAACATCTATCTGGATCTGAAAGACCTGGAAGACGTCTACGCGGATCTAGAAGGCCCGGAGGACACTTATCTGTATTTGGAAGATCTGGAAGATATCTATCCGGATCTCAAAGATCTGGAAGAGATCTATTCGGATCTGGAAGATCTGGAATACAACTATCTTTTTCTGAAAGATATAAAAGACATCTATCGGAAACTGAAAGACATGGAATACATTCATCTAAGTCTTGAAGATCTGGAAGAAATTTGTCTGAATATGAGGAACAAATATGCTCGTCACACTCCATATCATCACATATGGCTCTTTCGAATCGGTCCAGCCGTTTTTTCTGAAATGCTACACAATGTACTCCTACGTGATTACCGAATAGCGTCATTTTCGTATTTAGCATGAACTCCAGTTATCATTATTAACTTCCCGGGTGCGAAAAGCTTACAGGACAACGTTTATGAGCTAGAAGATAACAAAGAGTTGATTTGAAAATGAACTGATTAGGAATCGAGAGGAACCTTCGCACCCGGAGTATGGTGACAATTGAGCCATCCGTGACGCTTGGAGTAGCAGATGGGATGTAACGTCATGCTAGTTCCGTGGCTAGGATACGTTAACTGAAAAGTATAAAAGCAAGGAGAAAATGACAATCAATCCATCTGAGCTTTCAAGCTGCATTACCCACTCAACGTACTTTTTTCCAGAATACATGAAGGTGTTCATCCTATTAGCCATTTTTGGCCTGGCTTCTGCCCTTGTCCACCAACACAAGATCCAATGGAGAGAATCCAGGAAGATGGAGTTGCTCCGTAGTGGAGAGTACGCTGCTTATGTGGAATATCAAGAGAAAATACGCCCGTCCTCCCCAAAAATGCTGGCCAGTCTTCCACAAAAAGTCAACGACTTTGGAGATTACGAGTACCTCGGAAACATTACCATTGGTACTCCAGACCAGAGCTTCATTGTTGTGTTGGATACCGGATCGGCGAATTTGTGGATTCCAGGACCCACTTGCACGTGAGTAGTCGATTTGGAAGAAATACCAATTTATGTGTTCGTGAGATTTTAGAACTAATTGCAATAAGAAGAGCAAATTCGATTCTACCAAATCTAGTACTTTTGTTAAGAATGGACAGTCTTGGGTGATCCGGTACGAGTCTGGAGATGCTGCGGGTATTCTTGGAGAGGATACTGTCAGAGTGAGTTCATCACGAAATCATACCCATAATGTCTTAACTAATAATTCAGTTCGGAGCCAAGGGTGAATCCCAACTTGCTATCCCATCAACCACCTTTGGAATAGCTAGCAAAATATCTGCTGATTTCAAACAAGATGCTACTGATGGAATCCTTGGACTTGCCTTCACCTCTCTCGCTGTCGACGGAGTGGTTCCACCCCTTATCAACGCTATCAACCAAGGAATCCTCGATCAGCCACTATTCACTGTCTTCCTTGAGCACAGAGGAGCCCTCAACAACGTCGGAGGAGGAGTCTTCACCTATGGAGCCATTGATAACACTAACTGTGGACCAGTCGTCGGATACCAGCCACTCTCTTCTGCCACTTACTACCAATTCAAGGCTGCTGGATTCAAGCTTGGATCTTACTCTAGCAGCAAGGCCGCTGAAGTCATCTCCGATACAGGAACCTCTTTCCTCGGAGGACCAACAAGTGTTGTCGACGGACTTGCCAAGGCAGCTGGTGCCAAGTACGTTGCTCTTGAGGGCGTCTACACTATCAATTGTAATGCGCAACCAGGAACTCTTGATATCACCATTGGATCCAATGTCTATTCTATTCAACCTGTCAACTACATAGTTAGCATTGGAAACGGAAAGTGCGTGTTCGCCGTCTTCAGGTTCGACTCTGGTGGATTTGGACCAGCTTGGATTCTTGGAGATCCTTTCATCAGACAGTTCTGTAATATCTATGATATTGGAGGAAAGAGAATGGGATTCGCTCCATCTCTTCAAAAGTAAATATTTTTGTGTATAAATTTTTTTACATAAAATTTATCTTCAAAAGTAACTTTTATTAATGTTAACAATAAATTTTATCGATTGAAAGGATTTGAGCAATAATTCTCAGTATCACAAGCCACAGTTTCACACATTGCTCCCTTCATATCGGTGTAGCAATTTTCGTTCTTCCAACTCTCAAATTTCTTGCTGTCGGCTACAGTATTCCCGACACATAGGGAATTAGATCCTGGGAACTTGTCCAGTTGGTATAGGGGTTTAGTTAGGGGAAGTAGTGGCATCCCATTTTTCTGCTCCCAGAAGTATGCACCATTGACAAAGTGGAGTCCGATGTGATAGTTTCTGAGCTGACCATCGAACAGAGCTGAAAATATTCAGTTGGTACATAAACAGGCAAAAATGCTCACCTTGATTGAACAACGCCTTTTCAATACTAAACTCAGTGGCCAGATATCCTTGTTGGTTGCGATTCTGGCAAGTTAGTCTTGCCTCGGACCAGTGTCTCTCGACAAACATTGCCTCAATACATGACCCAAATTTACGAGTGGTGTTATTCTCAGGATACATGAATTGATGATACCCTTCTGGACAGAAGCAGTTGGCATCACAAAGGCCTTTTTGAATTCCCGCCGTCAAGTTTTCATCGGATAAGGAGAACCCATAACCTTCGCTTGCAAGGGCTTTCAGTTTCATGATTTTGTTGGACTGAAAAAAAGAATTGTTGGTAGAATGAAGGCTCTGTACTCACGTCATCCATATTTGCAACTGTGATGATGGTGACACCATTTTCTTTGAGATAGTAAGCTAGTTGATTCGCTGTCGGTTGATCGTAGTCACTGGAATTATGATTTTTTTGAGAAACCTGGAATGATCTAATAGTATAAGCCCACCCTATCCGTGCATTTTGAGCTCAATTATTTCGGTTCCTATAAGAGACAAGCCTTCTGTTTGCCGCTTCAAACAGCTGGCTGTTGCGCCTTCGGCGCAATTCAACATTTTTAATTATTCATCGCTCCACTCCTCACTTTTCGATTTTTTTCTCACGCTGTAGAACATATACGCCCTCCCTCCCCTCTCCTAGTGTGGCCCTCATGGCGCAGCTGTGTGCGTGAGCGGCTATTGTGCGGAAGGCCGCGGGTTCGGTTTTGGCGGCGGCCAACCTTTCATTCAGAAACCCAAAACCGGACAGCCTGACAATAGAACCGACAGACGCGTCAGGCGTTTTATATATAAGGAAGATACCAAAATAAACAATTTATCTGTTCAAATACTTTAATATCTTTTCAAGGGAAAGAGATATTTGTGCTAACCATCGCAGTCAGCCTCTTTCAGCGTCGGTCAACTTCCTGATCGCGTAGCTGATCCGGTAGAGGTTATTACATTTTGATCATAGGCAGAATATTAGGAAAACTTTGAAAAACATTTGAATCATGGCCTTGAAGGAGCCTGACTTGCGGACCAAATAGGTGCCAAGCCGCTGAGCTACGCGGTTGGGAACCCCGTAGACTCACATATAATCAGCTGCATACATGATGATAACAGACATTGTATTATTTTTCGGTCCATTTCCATCTTTGTATCCCATCATTTCGTTGATTAGTTTCAATGGTCTGAAATTTTGATTTATTTTAAGCTTCTCAAGCTTCTCTTCTCGCTTACGTTTGAATATTGGAAATGTCCGACTTGCTAACTTGAAGACTGGAAATCACATTTTCCAAATCTTGATTCGATGTGAGATCACTCAAATTGGATCTGATGTAGGCATTCTCATTATAGGTGATCACAGCCACTCGGGCACCCCGCTTATCAGAGTAATCACTCCCGACACGTGAATTGGCTAATGTTGAGAAGACACTGGAAGCCACTTGGGATAGCCCGGAGGTTCCCATTTTTGTAGAATCATCGATGACTACGTAGACATCTAGCCAGAGATTGTTAAGGTTGCATCGACATTCGGGTTCGATGGATTGTTGGGAATAGGCTGGAAACAAGATATTAAAAACTAATTAAAGCTACACAGATACATTTACCATAGTCAAAAGCTAGACCCAACACAAGCAATGCCAGATAAGAACGCATCCTTTTTGCAGTTCTGTTTGAATTTCCTAGAACCTTATATATGTTTCCTGATCTCTTTTGATGACAATGATAAATCACCCATTGTTTCAAAAATCATCGAGAGCAGTCAGGAAGTTCAAGAACATGTTAATACTATATCAAAATCAATAAAAATTTCAACTACAAAATGCGGTATATAAAATACGCCTGCTGATAAGAAGCAAAATTATCAGTTTATGTCAATAATCAGAAAACCACACTTCTTGAGTCTGCAGAAGAGCTTTATTCTTTTAAAAAATAGCATTTACACAAACTGATGAGCATTATCCGACACCGAATAAACCTTCTGGTCCGGAGTGGCAATCAGCTTCTTGGTAAATTGACTTCTGAAGAATTTCACCGTGGAAATTGAGTCCTTGGAGTTGGAGAACTTTTCCAGAAGACTGAAAATAATATTTCCTTTATTTTTAGCCCCAAATTCAAAACTCACATCACTGGATCCTTGTTACATCCTGGATATGTGAAATCAAAGGTTTCGTATTCTCTCCAGTTGGGGATGGAGTTCAGGAGGTCTTTGAGGAGGACTTCAGCAGCTTCTAAGTTTTCAGCATAGAAAGGGGCGGGGCTTAGACGGTTGTTGATTACTGGACGGATAGTAGCGTACCCCACGATTTGTCCAGACTTGTTAAGAACCACCTGAAAACAAAACAAATTGGTTTGGGGAGGTTTTTCTCAATGGTGTGACTTGAAAAGCTCTGATAGGAGCCTACCCTGTAAGTGCGTTTGAGCTCAAGTATCTCTGTTTCTTTGAGAGTTATCAAAAATCTATGAACTAATAAATTGTTCACCATATTATCACAAACATTTTATCAGTTAACACAATTTGATATCTCTAATAGGAATCGAATTAATTGAGCTCAAAGGGGTCATATAGGGTGAGCTTCTACAGGGTGGGGAATAATTATAGCGCCCAAACTTTGCGCAAGCTCTGGCGCCAGCAACACGGTCTGATTTGCACACCCTAGTATTTTTTCATTTTATTTTTTTGCTTTAAACTATTTCTGAAAAATTCATGCAATTATTCCAACTTTGAAGGTAATGGTGACCGTTTTTCCATACCACACTCCTAGTATGGAGCGCGCGAAAAAGGGGTGAGAACTTTGGAGACCGCTAAAAAACTTGATATCAGGAAATCAGTGGTCAATCAGAAACTCGTTCGGTTCAGAGAATTGGGAACTTTCAATAATATAAGAAAAAGCGGTCATCTGATGTTTGGAACGGCTTCTGGAGTCGTCAAAGCCGTGAGAGAGAAAATCAGTAGGAATCACGAAAGAATCATGAAAAAATGACGTCGTAGTTTAGAATGCTCCGCAAATCAATGAGAAGTATTTTGCCGTAGTCGCCTTCTTGAAGAGACTTCGAGCTGTTATCGGAGCGAACGGAGGAAGGCTCAAAAATTGTTAATGCCATCTTTTTTGTTATCTCTTAATGAACATCTTGACCGAATTTGAGAAAAAAATCTTTTGGTTTGAGGTTTCTACACCGTCTTGAAAGCGGCGCTATATTTATTCCCCACCCTGTATTAGAGCAAAAAACAGTGTGAGAAGATTTTCGAATTTGGCGAGACCTTCAAAAACAGGGCCGCGGCTTTCTAGTTATGTATAGTGATTCCAGTTTGGGCAGGATATGACGGCCTAGAAGCCACTAGAACTTGCTGGTTGGCTGAGCTGATTTCCAGACGCCTTAGTCCAAGGCCCTGTTTTTGACAGCGATGCTCTGGATACTGAGACCACTTTCAAAATAATCTCACCCTAGTGACACTTTCAGGCAAGTTGAACCAAGCGGTAATGTATTTCTTCCGGTCCCTGGTGCAAATAGTCCGATCATATGCAGTCAATGCCTCGTAATCCACCTCAGTCCAGTCCTGATAATTCAATTAGTCTCTATCAAAGTTCATCAGATCTCACATTTGTTAAATATTCCTTTGAAACGGTGTCCGGAATCTTGACATCCGCGCATTTAACCGAACTGAACCAGTGCCAGTGTTCCGGACACTTGTTGAATCCAAAGACCTTGTCGTACTTGGCACTCATCTTGACAGCTGGAAGACGCATATGTAGAGATTTCCTAAACATGTCCTTTTCAACATACCCCCTGTAAGAGTCGCATTGTTGTCTCCAATAATATCAAAAACCTTCTGGAAAATTGGTTTTCCAAATCCCTGACCACGATATTTTCCTTTGCAATAAAACATTCCAATAGAGTACAAAGCACCGTCTGGACCGTCCCAACGAGTCAAGGAGACACTCGCCACAAAGTTTGTGGTACCTTTCTCCACAACAGTGACCAACCAAAGTTGATCATAGGTCGTTTTCCAAAGATCGTAATCTTCACTTTTAAAACACCAATTCTCCGGTGGATCACTTGTCTGAAACGCTAGTTTTTGAAGTTATGAAAATATCTGACTTACCAATTGAGCAAGTTGGTCAAAAACCTCTTGGGGTGGATTTATAATAGTCTCGAATTCCACCATATTTTTTTCTGGAAGCGCTTAGAAAAAAAACGCTCCTTTTCTCTTTTATATGATGTCTAGGCTATCAAACAATCGGGAGGGGTACAAGATTCGGCTACACAATTCGCCTACACAAAATACACTTTCGTGGGGAAATTGAAAATTCTCTGTATGAGGAACGTAGAGTACATAGAGTGAAAATAGACACCAAAACGTTTTTCAAAGAGCAAAAGTTCAAAGGATGACCCACACTCCATCTGTCAGCGAGCTTGCTCTAATTTGAGCTCAATTATCTCGGTTTCTACGAAAGCAATCAAAAAACTGTCCACTGATAAAATATTGGTGATGTTATGATAAACAATTTATCAGTTGAAAGTTTTTTTGATATATTTTGAAAGGACGGAGATAATTGAGTTCAAAATGTAGGATGGACTTCTAATAGATAATTTACGGTAAGAACAGAACAGTCTAAGAACAGTCTCAATAACAAAATTTTTTATTCAATAATTCAAAACCACAATAGGCATTTATACAAACTGATGAGCACACTCTACTGGTGCATAAACCTTCTCACTCGGCGTCGCGATGAATTTTTTGGTGAATTGACTTCTGTATAGTCGGCACGTTGAGATCGAGTCCTTGTCTTTGGCGAAATGCTCAAGAAGTCTGAAATGTTCAATGTTCCCCGAGTACCGCCACAAAGTAGTCAATAAATTAGTAGTAAATGACCTAGAACTGGGCTGGACCTGGTGTGCGTTTCTAAGCTTGAGGGCCTTGAAAATTTATGTTGAGCGTGGTTCGAAAAATGATAAAAATTTTGATTACAGTATATAACAAACCTCAAAGCATCTTGATTGCACTCTGCGTACATCAAGCTGAAACTCGCATAGCTTTGCCATTGTGGTATCATATTCAGAATATCCTTCAGAAGCACTTCAGCAGCTTCCAAGTTGTCTGCATAAAAAGGGGCGGGGCTCAGCTTGTTCCTAGTAACAATACGGAAGACACCATAGCCAACGATTTTTCCAGAATATTTATCAAATACAACCTGACAAAATACTGATTTTCGAGTTTCTTTTGAAATCTCACCCTTCCAAAAGTGTTTCTCATGACCATCCAACTCGTCATAATTTTCCTTCGCTCTCTATCGCAAATACTACGATCATATTCAGTTAACCGAATACAGTTTACATCAGACCATTTTTTCGTTTCATAATTTTCAGATACAGTATCTGGAATTCTCACATCGGCACACTTGATAGTGCTACACATATGCCAGTGATTGGGAGTTTTATCAAATCCGTAATCCATGGCGTATTTTTCAGTCATTTTGTAATTTCCTGCAAGGAACGCATTGTTATCTCCAATGATATCCATAACTCTCTTGAAAAGCGGTCTCGCGTGCCCATGACCACGATACCTCGGTGCACAATAATACAGACCAATTGAGTAGAGAGGACCATCCTCAGCATCCCAACGAGCCAGAGTTATGGAAGAAACAACATCATTGGATTCTAAAAATTCGAAGGTTATGTCCCTAAATAAATATCATTTGAGGGATGAAAAAAAGGCCTGTTGAAACGAATAGTTTCGTTCCAAAACCATGAAGTTCCGTTGCAAAAATACTTTTTTTTTCCTCAAACAAGAGATTTTCGGATTTCATTTTTGCTATGTTTTATGGAGCTTTTAATAGCCAACGAGGTTTTTAAAAAATATCCAACGGATTCCCGAAAACGCAAAAAATCTGTAACTTTGGACAGAGCCCATATTTGCTCACCTTTCTCCACAGTCACAAACAACCAATACTGATCATAAACCTTTGTTCGGTATTCGTAGTCTCCCAGTTGAACTGACCAGTTGTCCGATTCGCCGCTCTGAAATTTTCCGGTAATTCACAACCAGCTTGAATACAGCTTTGCTTACGAGTGTGATGATTTCTTCAAAAACTTCTTGAGGCGGATTGATCAAAGTTTCAAATTCGGGCATTTTCAGGCCGAGGGAGAATCAATAGTTTGCGTACACGAACTGATAACAGTTCAAAGGACTTGATGATAAGATAGTAATACTGTGTACGAATAATTGTGGAATGTTTGTTGAAATGTTGGTTGAACAAAATTTTATTTCCGGCAGATACATGAATTAGGATTAAATGAGGCTTAGCCTGTACGAATTATTCGAAAACCAGAAAAATCGATTAAACCCCTAACTACACAAACTGGTGAGCACAGTCGGCCATAGAGTAAACCTTCTGATCTGGAGTGGCAATCAGCTTCTTGGTGAATTGACTTCTGATAAAAGTTACCGTGGAGACCAGTTCCTTGCTCTTGGCAAACTTTTCCAGGAGTCTGAAATTGAAATTTTAGCATTTAAATTAGAATTGCAAGCAATAAAACCTCAGTGGATCCTGGTTGCATTCCGGATACAAGAATCCGAAGCTAGCGTAGCTTTGCCAGTTAGGGATCATGTTGAGGAGGTCTTTGAGAAGGACCTCCGCAGCTTCGAGGTTGTCGGCGTAGAACGGTGCGGGGCTGAGCTTATTCTTGGAGACAAGACGAATAGTGGCGTAGCCGACGATATTCCCGGAGGTGTCGAGAACGACCTATAACATTTTAGGGAACAGTTTTACCCCCAAACTGCAATTAAATTCTGACTTACCCTAGTGAAAGTATCCTTTAAGTTGAACCAAGCAGTCATGATTTTCTTTCGGTCCCTGGTGCAAATGGTCCGATCATAAGCAGTCAACGCTTCGTAGTCCACATCCGACCAGACCTGGAACAGTTAGGTTATTGAAATTCTTGTTTCATTTCATTGAGAATAACGTCCATACCTTGGTGGTGTACTTATCCGAGACCTTATCCGGAACCACCGTATCAGCACACTTGAGAGCACTGAACAGATGCCAGTGCTCTGGAACCTTGTCGAACCCAAAGTCGCTGGCATACTTGGCACTCATCTTGACCACTGAAACAACGCTTTTTGTATACCGTAAGACATGTTTTAGAAGGGCGGCTTTAATAGAAAAGCCAAACTGATAAAAGGATCCTCCAAGAGGAACTTGGAAAAATAAAATGACACGCTGTAATAGAAGGGCCACCTTCAAAATGTATTGTCTGAGATTGAAAATTTCCGTATGTTTTCAGTTAAAAATATTTCAGAAATTCCACACTCTTTTTTGCTCAAAGTTTGCTTCATTTTGGGCAAATTGATAGATTTCCATGAATTTTTAACGTAAAATTCACCGAATATTTCGATGAAACATTAAAAAAATGGCTGGAAATTGAAGTGCTCTCCGGAGATACATTGAAATAATTCGGTCGGCCCTTCTAATACTGGTTTTTCGGTAAATAATTTTCATGGGAACATACCTCCAGTCAACGTTGCGTTATTGTCCCCAACAATATCCATAACCTGCTTAAAAATTGGCTTTCCTAATCCTTGTCCCCTATATTTTTGAACGCAATAGAACATTCCAATAGAGAATAGTGGGCCTTCCGGAGCATCCCAGCGAGCCAAGGAGACAGAAGCAACTAGATTCAGTGTTCCTTTCTCCACGACAGTAACCAGCCAAAACTGATCAAAGTTGGTTTTCCAGAAGTTGTAGTCGTTGAGTTGGAAGGCCCAGTCCTCGGTGGCGCTTGTCTAGAAAATTTGTATTTTATAATTTTTTTTTGTTTCGGAAGTTACCAAATCCACAATTTGCTCAAAAACCTCCTGCGGCGGGTTGACCAGAGTTTCAAATTCGGTCATCGTTTTTTGTTGTCGGCTTGTCTGAACAGTTGTCTAAAAGAAAAGGAAAGATACAATTGAAGAAAAAAGGGGTGAATCTTTGCCGCTGATTGACAGGAAGCAAATAAAACATAGATAGTGAGAGACGCAGATAATATGAGAGGAATTTATAAAAAGAGGAAATGAACCGTATAATACGGATTAAACAGGTCTACGTATTTTGATATTTTGATCAAAAGTTTGGGAACTATTGTAAGTCTTCCTGGTTAAATTAGAAATGGAACATTACTTAAAATCGATACGGTAGTCCTTTGTCTATGGTCGCCTAGGTCACCTCTGTGTGCAATAGAGCGCGCTTGTTCAAAGTTCAAATGAGAGCAGTAGACATCAAAGACGGGTGACTTTTATAAAACACAAATACCCATAAATTTCGGGAAAGTTTTTTTTTTCGAAAACCAATTATTTTTTTCTGTCTATACTTCCTTATATGATTTCAACGCTCAATGAACTGGAAAACTTTGAAAAAGAGAAGAAACAAAGAACAAAACGAAACAGGAAGATAAGAAAAATTTTTAGAGTTGATGTAGATTTGAAGGAAAAACTGATGGATAGATTTTTGAAGGGTTTCTGGTATTTCAGATGTTAAAAATAACATTCTTACCTAATTTTTTTCTGTATCTTGAACATAACATGTACAAAACAGAACACGACCTTGTTTTTCCATATCTCGCAAATATGATTCTATTGATAAGATAAGACGTTTTGTTGGAAATCTCCTTTTTCCAAATCGTGTTAATTTTCGAGGGTAAAGTTTAAAGGGGGACTCCGACCAAAAATTTTTATTGCATTAAAATGTGTTAAAAGTTATCTATTTTCCTAATTTTATTGCGAAAAAATTCAAAAGAAATCCGGAATCCCCGAAAAACGCCGTTGAAAATGAAAAAAAAATTCAAAAAAGGTGCCGCCGGGGGACGAGGATTTGAATTCCCGCGCAGTGAGAAACCTAGGCCACGGGGCCTGACAGCATTATTTTCAAGTGGCCGACAGTTTTTTTAAATGTTTTTTACCTGCCGGAGATAAAAGCGAGATAAATCCGGAAAATTTGTACGGTAAGAAAGTTGTGCCGCTCGCGTGGCCTAGCGTGGCCTGAAAATCCTCGTTCCTCGGCGGCACCTTTTTTTTGAATTTTTTTCCTTTTCAACGGCGTTTTTTGGGAATTTCGGATTTTTTTCGAATTTTTTCGCAATAATATTCTGAAAATAGATAAATTTTAACACATTTTGATGCAATAAAAAATTGACCGGAGTCCCCCTTTAACATCGTAAAACATTTTAAATCCTTGATGTTTTCATCTGTACATAAGTTACTCAAAAAATAAAAAGATGAACGATTGAAAAAAGACCATTTAATTATCCTCCCTGGGTTCCAAATTCATCCACACACTCTCCGGTTGAGTAGTTCTCACACCAACCAGTTTCATAGGAATCTGAGTTTTCTTGCAAGTTTTCAATGTGTATTTTCTCAAAATGTGGCACAGTAAAAGTTTCTCTTCCATATAAGCCAACCGCATTCCAATACACTGACGGGGTCCAAGGCCAAACGAGATGAATGATCCTTTTGAGAGAATATGGTCGTCTCCAGATTCCCACCTTTCAGGCTTGAATTCTTCTGCATCTACTCCCCAGATTTTTGGATCTTTGTGGATGGTCCACGTGTCACAGAGAATATCTACACCCTTCTCAATCTCAACACCTCCAATTGTGGTGGGCCGCATACAGCGACGAGCGTTGGCTCTGGAATAATCACCCTATTGCGCAGCCTGCTAACAAAACTTACAGTGCAGCCAGTGGGTACAGCCTCAGGGTCTCTTTAATCACACATTCCATATATTTCAGTTTTGACAGCTTATCAAAAGTGATCTCTGGATCTTTGCACTCTCTATCCACTTCTTCCTGAAGTTTTTTCTGAACATCCGGATGTGTAGCTAGAAGATAAGACGAGAAAGATAAGGATAATGCAGTGGTGTCAAATCCGCCGACCAGGAATACAAAGCACTGTCCCACAACTTCATCTGTAGTCAATTTTTTCGTCACTTTCTCTGTTTTTGAAAACTCTTCGTTTCTCTGAATATCAACGTCATCAGATTTGGCGTCCAAGAATAAATCGATGAAGTCTTGCGGTTCTCCTGGCTCGATTCCCACTCTCTCATCGGCCACTCGTTGAGCGATTCGTTTTTCGACAGCGTCAGCGGTTTGACGGATGATGTGAACTGCTGGATTTTTCAAAATGCTTGGGAACGAGAACATGATTTTTCTAAGAATCGGAGCGATCCATGGAACCAAAAATCCACTCATGAATAGGGCCTTTCTGGGCTCCCCGAACACAGCTCGGACATAAGGGAGCATGGGGTTTTTGAATATTTGAGAGTCAGTCTGTCCGAGGGCAATACGACCGATGACGTCGAGAGTGAATTCTTGGTAGAAACTGGAAAACATGTGTATTTCGAGATTTCACAACAACGGCTAATTTCTCAACATAATTTTTTTAGACTTCCAAGGTTTATAGCCTAGCCTTAAATTCACCTTGTGTGTTTTCTAGGTCATTTATCATGATGTCCTAGAAAACGTAACTTGTAAAAGTTAGGCCACCTTGTTAAAATCGCCTAAACAATTTACCAGATATTACTATTTTAGACTATTTTAGGCAGTAAACCTTCGTGGCCTAACTAACTCATCTTGCGAAAGCTAGACCACCATATTAAATAAGTCACACCATTTCTAACATAAGCTGTAAACTTTTATGGCCTAGAAAATGCAAATAGAAAAATTAAGGTCTCTATGGTAAAAAACATAGGAAACACACCAGGTAAATCAGGTCAGTTCTATTTAACACAGTGGTCAGTTCTAGACCATTTAACATAGTGACTTAGAAAACGCATTTTTTTTCCACCATGGTAAATGGACTCGAAAACAGATTAGGTTCATGTTAGGTCATTTTTGGACCTTCAACTACGGTAACCTAGACAAATCACGTTGAGAAAGTTAGGCCACCTTGTTAAAACCGCCTAGAAAATTTACCAGAATACTAGACTCGTTTAGCCAGTAAACCTTTGTGGCCAAAAATATTTGCAAAAGTTAGGCCACCATGTTAGTATCGCCTTGATTTCTTTAAAGGGGTTTTGCGACCTTGTGTACTCACTTCAAAAGTTCAATTGGTTTTCCTCCAGCCGTCTGTTCTTCCATATGCCTTAAAAGTTCCACACAACTATCTTCCACTGTCGTTTTTAGTTTTCTGAAAATCCACAATGATCAAAATTTTTTCAAAGTTGGCAACAGAACTCTTTAAGCTGGAGCCATCGAGGATTTTGCCCCATAGCCAACCTACGTTCAAAAGATACTAACCTCAAACTATTATTGGAAAACGTCGGGCTCGAAATTGTTCTCAATCTCTTCCACCGATGACCCTGTGCCGCAAAAAGATGAACTCGTTTCTCCTGATTCGGGTTCCCTTGAATTGGATTCAAGTTCCTCCCATAGAAATTGTCGTATTGGTTGACCAACACTTCTTGAACTAAATCTGCATTCGATATCACCAAAGTTTTCGATAGTCCTTGAGTCATTCCATACACTTTGCCATACTTTTTGGTCCATTTTTCCAGTTGGGCGGGTGGTGGATTTTCAGAGTCGAAAAGTTCCAAAGATGATCCGAAAATGGGGTAACCCATAGGTCCGGGAATTCCTCGACGCTTCCAATAGGTCCAGGTCCAGAGATAGTAACTGGAAAATGGGATTTAATTCAAAAATTTATTGAAAATAGTTTTATTTTACCTGAAAACTCCTACAAATAAAGTTAAGAATGCTAAAGAAATGGTGATCATTCTGAGAACTGAAATTGTTGAAAAATTTCGAAAATATATAGATTTTTAAGTTCAGACAACACAAAAAGATACAAATCAGAGTTTGGTCACAAATCTGCCTTTTTCCTGCGTCTCTAAAATTTCAATGATATATCGAATTTTGTGATTTGAACTTTCTGAATTCACATCAGCTGTAGTAAAGCGAGTTCAAAAATTTTCATTTTGGAACCACTTTGAAACAGAAAAAAAACCCAAAAAAGTTGAAACAGTGCTCGAATAGATTTTTCTGACATTTTTATACTATCAAAAATACTACAAAAGACGTTTTTCAGTAAATGTGCAGAAGACATTTGACGTGCTAGTTTCTTTGACTTTATGGTCAAACAATCTATGTTTCCCTGATGTTTGATTAGAGGTAAATAACACATTTTGTGATTTGGTGTGCACTATTTTTACCCCACTTTTGACATTTCATTATTTTTGTGACCTAATTGCCATCTGACACCAATGGGTTCGATTAAATTGAGAACAAGGCCACTAGTCAACTTTGGCCTATAAAATAAGAAAAAAAAACACACTTCCTTTCACCCCCTTCAATTGAAGGACGCCTTTAATAGAAGAACCTTTCAAGCTGAAAAATTGTTTATCATGATATCAAAAGTGTTTTCTCAGTTGACATATTTTTGATATCTTGTATAGGAAATGAATTAATTAAGCTCACACTTGCCAGTTTGGACCTTTCTATTTACAGGTTTTACGGTTTTACGTGTAGAGTGGTCCAAAGTTGTGCAAAATGGCGGCCGGCCCGTCCGAGGCCGACTGCGGCTAGCCTGATAAAATTCCGTGAAATGAAACCTAGTTTTTTGAAGGATTGGGAAGATATAATCTACTTATCCCTATGAAACTTCAATGTGTGTTCGCAAATCGTGTTCCGGTCTTTCGTGCAAAAAATTGAACATAAATCTTGAATACTAAAAATTTTTTGAAAAATGTTTTTTTCCGGATTATCTGAAAAATGATTATGTTGATGAAAATTATCACAATCCTAATAGTTAGAGACGACGGAACGCAGAATCTGGGACTTGTATTCCGGAATTCTGAAAAAATATTTTGTCCGGATAGTTTTTCTTGGATTGTGTACCTCAAAACCGTTCTTCTGGTAGTTGTTTTCTTTCGGAAAATACATAAGTGTATTCAGGAAAAAATCATTTTCAAAATTATTCCAAAAAGCCGTGCGTCTAGCCTAGGCCGGCCGCGGCTTTTTGTATTCAGGCCTTTGAGGTCGTGGCACAGCTTTGGAGTGGTCCCTTAAAAGTTGTGTCACTTGAGATTCTGAATTTTGTCATTTGACCTTTAAAAAAATGGTCATGCTCATCTGAATAACTAAAGGGTTACCTGTATCCGACACTTGACAATATCCAATGGGGTCATGGCACAATGTGTTACCCCACATGCAAGGGAGCCACCGAGGGCACATAGCGCGTAGAATTGACTAGATCCAAGTTCCACCTGAGCAAAATTTTTGAGAAAAAAAATCGAGAATAAAACAAAGCTTACTAGGGAAGGTTGTTTGTGGGGTATGGGACTTCGTTATGAGACCTATATCATTCGAAAGCTGAAAATGAGACATTTTCAAAAATGTAATTCGATTTTGCTGTGGACTTACCATATTCGAGAAAATCGAGTTTGAAATCTCATTTTTGAAAAAGCAAAGGGGGGACCCCATGGTGACTTTTTTCCAAAAAAAAATTTTTTTCGAAAAAACATGAAAAACTTACAGGATCATACTAGTTAGGGATCCATAGCAGACAATAAGCCTATATTTCGAAATCTCGTCAATTTTCCCACGAGTCGTTTTTAAATACACATGCTCTCGTTCTCTTCCGCACTCTTCTCGTATGTGATTCTCTTCTCCTGAAAGTTCTGTCGTTGTCTCTATTTCTCCAGACAGACAGAAAATTCTGTGTCCACCTATGACGTGGAGTTTATGTCAAGGAACATGCTCTATGACCGAGGGAAAATGATGCAAAAAAAGATAGTGGGGTTTGATTTGAGCATCAAATGTTTATTGAATAAAAAATTATACATATACACTTGATTTTAAGATTTTTGGGTCGTTACAAACAATCAAAAATTAAATTCAATTTATTTTTCAACACAAAATATTTTCAAAATCTTATTTTTCACAAAAACCCTATACGGTGGGCAGGTCAAAATCATCACCAAGCAGTTGATGGTTCCGTGGCACGATGTCATTGCCAATAGGATCCAGCTGATGACTGAAAAGTTGGAAATATCGTTATAGATTCTCAAATTTAAGGCAACGTACACTGAATATGTTCGAAATCGAAAGCCAAAAGAAATCCGCTAGCCACGGGTGGAAGAAATGCAACTGGTGAGGTGATGAGCTGGAATCTACCTTTTTCGGAAGTCTAGAGCTCGGCTGTCAAGTTCCCCATCATTTTTCAAAACTTTAGAGGGCGTAAAACAGACCTAGATTGAAAATTTCGCATTCACAGAATTTTTTCGAAAATTCCTAGTTTTCCAGCTATTTGCTGATTACTGAAGGATACCTATTATTTTTTCACTTTTTCAGTTTAAAACAGGAAAAAACGGGATGCCCTTCAGTAATCAGCAAATATCTGAAAAACTAGGAATTTTCAAAAAATTCTGTAAATGCAAAGTTTTCAATCTAGATCTGTTTTATAACCTCCGATATTTTCAAAGTGATCAGACACTTGCCATCCGAGCACCAGACTTTTGAAAATGGTCAAAATCAACTGAAATACACGTTCTTTCATGTATTCATGTCGATCGCAGACTGGGCCGTGGATAGGTAGCCCTTGCACTTTCTTTCTTTCCCTTGCACTTTCTTTCCAGAAGTACCCTAGCCTTGGCCCCCGCCTTTAAAAGAACCATGCTGATTAGGTCCAAAATGTACCTGTGCCAATAAGCTTGTAACTGCTGTCTTGTGCCTTTTCAGATGACCATCGGATATCTGATTTTCCAAACTACGCAACAATTGGAAAATTTTCACTGTGCAAAATATAATTATCGAAGTAAAAGTGATAGCCATCATAGCTGCAGCGGAAATAAACCAATGAGTGATTCCATTTTTCATGTATAATTGAAAGTCGTCAAGACTCACAAATTGGGAATAGTATTCTGGGTAGTTCTGTACAACAAAACATGATTGAAGACTGTTAATATTATGTTCTTACCAATTGGATAAAATCCAAGGCAGTTTGCCGATCAATCCCCGAAAAATAGTAAAGCACAATCCAAGTTCCAATAAGGACGTGAGTAAGAGAAGCCGCGAAAATCACCCAGTTATTACGAATTTCGTTCCGAGAATCCAATTTCGAAATTGCTTGATATTTTCGAACAAAACACATAGTTAGAGCAGCTGCTTGTTGTCCCATTATCACACTGCCGATCACTGATGCCATATGAGTTCCAATATGAAAAATAGACCAAAACGGTCCATGGATATGTCCCGCCCAAATCGGAAGTAATGGGATTGGTTGGGTCATGAAGAACATTATGAAGTCTCCGAGAAGATTGCACGTCTACAAAATTCGAATTTATTCGCTTTTTTTAAAGCTAACAAGTCTCACAATAAACCATAGCAGGAAATACTTGAAATTGTCTATTTTTCCACTCTGGAATCGAATTAAATAAATTCCCAGGGAGTTTATCAAAATTGAGATTAGAGTGATTATGTGATAAATGTTGATAAGCCATTGTGGGGTTTCGAAAGAGATTTTCATGTTTTAAATGGGGGGATAAAAAATTGGGGTGGAAAGAAAAGCGAATAATAATCAAATCAGGCCAAATCCAATATTCAGGTGTCCAAGAATTGGATTATATAATGACAACCGCGCAAATATCTAGTTTTCAATTTCTCTGTCTATTTAGAAATGTTTTTTTTTTTGAAAATATTAACCTCCTAGAAGTTTCAGGTGGTTCTTCTAGCTGGAATTTCATATAACTTCTAGGGAAGTTGTCAATAGAACATCATGAAAAAGGTTAATATTTTATCTAGAAGATCAGACAAAGAGAAAAAGATACAGATAGATTCCAAAAACTTCACATTTTCCCAATGATTACATCGAAAAGGCATGACAATTATGTTCATTCTTTCTGGCACCACAGTAGGCTGTATCAGCACGGACGGTGAACACAAATCCGTTCTGAAAATGTAATTTTACACCCAACTTTGAGCCAAAAAGGTTAGGCTCACCTCAGAGCACACCACAACAAATCTATTAAGCTGCTTGGCTTCCAATGCTCCGTTGACTGCTTTTGAAGAGTCCACAGATGTTGATTGCATGTTCTGAAGTTCTATATATCAAAAGAGTTTTCGGGTTACTGTACCTCCAAAATGATCTTCTTTAACTCTGGATCGTTGCACATCATATTGTCATCTCCCGCAGCGATTCCAAAGAATGTTGGTTTCTCTGGAAGGGATCTCTTCTTTCTTCCTCCACATCCACACGAAGAAGGTGGTGGAGGAGCAGAACATCCACATCCACCACCTCCTCCCATCATTCCGAATTGTCCTGGACAAGCCGCAGCGATGGAGACAAGGCAGAGGAGGATGAGAATGGAGGATTGTATTGGTGGAGTCGAATGATTTTTTCCAAGCATTCATTTTATACATGTTTTGCTAGTCTGTAAATTCGTACACAAATTGGGAAAGTTTCCAGTAAAGCGTCACATATTCTAACTCCTAAAAACTTAAAAAATCTTCTTTTTAGCCTCGCTTATCTGATCTTTGTCATAGAATGTGTGACAACAGAAGGATTCCCGGGTCCAAAACCTTTTCCGAATTTTTCTAGGCGTCAGGTGTTCTCAAGAAACATTTGTGTAAAATTTTCCAAATTTAGCAAATTATCTAAAAATTTGATCTAGTCTAGGAAAGTGAAGTGGGCAAGAATACTGTGTCTACAAAGTACGAAAATCTCATGGCTTCCTGAAAAAACTTTCACAAGATGGGACTTTCAGATACCGTTTTTTACTTCAGTGACTTTTTATCAAAAGCTTAAGGAACTATTTGGGCTGTAAACTTTAAACCGATATCTAGGTATTTAAGCATGTCATGATGACACCTTCTCCAACCCATCAACATCTTCTGAACCACCATGCAATCTTCCATTCTCATACTCCTTTGCCTTGTTTCCATCTGTGCCGCCTGTCCAGGACTATTCGGAATGATGGGAGGAGGTGGTGGATGTGGATGTTCTGCTCCTCCACCACCTTCTTCCTGTGGATGTGGAGGAAGAAAGAAGAGATCCCTTCCAGAGAAACCAACATTCTTTGGAATCGCTGCGGGAGATGACGATATGATGTGCAACAATACAGAGTTGAAGAAGATCATTTTGGAGGTACAGTAACCCGAAAATTCTTTTGATATATAGAGCTTCAGAACATGCAATCAACATCTGTGGACTCTTCAAAAGCAGTCAACGGAGCATTGGAAGCCAAGCAGCTTAATAGATTTGTCGTGGTGTGCTCTGAGGTGATTTTTTGCTTCAGGTTGAAATTAAATATTATTTTTAGAACCCATTTGTGTTCACCGTCCGTGCCGATACATCCTACTGTGTTGCCAGAAAGAATGAACATAATTGTCATGCTTTTGCTATGTAACACTGGACAATTAAAAAATTTTGAAATCTATCTGTATATATATTTTTTCCTTTTCTGATAAAATATCTTTTCACCTTTTTCATAATGTTTTATTGACACTTGGAAAGTTCTTTCAGATTCCAGAAAACACCTGAAACTTATAAAAAGTTATTGTTTAGGTCAGAATATTTCATTTCAGAGAAAATAGAAAAATACTTCCAGTATATACAGATAAATGATATGTGAAATTAGAATAGAGGTATCAAACTTTTGGGTCAGCTACTGGTGCAGCTCCAATCGGAGCACCATCGGAATTGCTGGTATTGTTGGTCTTTCCGTTTTTCATACATCCCACATTTCCATTATCTCCAGTTTTTGTAAACGATACGGCCGCTTTCTTTCTAACCTCCTCCAGCTTGATGAAGAAACCACAAATAATAAAAAGATAAGGAATGATCATCTGAGTGAATTCGTAGTTCTTCCTGAGCATCGTCTCCGTATTCACTCCGGTAATCAGAAAATGGTGTTCGTGCATTTTTCGAAACATTCCAATAGAGATCATATCCATTATCAATCCAGCTATTTTTAATATTGTCAAGCAAACCGTTTCAAAAATCACCACTGATTGCTCAAAAGTTAATGGTCCGGTGGAGAGTTGGAGGTAGACAAAAATGATAATTAGGGTTAGGAGAAGCATAACCAAATCGATAACATTGACCGCAAGGCATCTGTGAAGGCTGACGAAAGAAGTGAAGTTGAATTGGATGAAATTTGGTAAAATGCGGAGGAAAATGAGGTACTTGGTGTTGGTGTAGAGGATGGCAATGATGAACATAATCAGGCGGCTGGAAAATGGGTTGGTTGAAAGTCCTGGAGATTTTCATAAATTTTTTTTGGAGTTACGGTATGAATTAGCGCGTGGCTTTCATATACCGTTTTCAAGAGTCTGGAGCTCGGCTG